TCTTAGGAATGGTCCATTTATGATCACTGAAACGATTGAAAAGCGAGCTAAGTTTTATTTTGCACTTTTTAATTGAGTACTGGCTTCCTAAAAAGAAAAGAAGCAACAACTGCAACAAAAATTATAAAAACGATTTTTGCAAAGACGGATAAGGGATGCCAGGATTTTTTACAGAAAATTAAATAGGAGTGAAGAAATTAAAGGCTTTTAATTAACAATGTTACGACCGGACCTCTTTTTGTATATGGAATGGTGAGCCAGCCTTGTAAATTGTTATTTTTTCCACATATACAGCATTTATCCGCCATGCCAAGGCAAATGTGAGGTTAAAAGATATTTGCAATCCTAAAGTACAATCGATATCTGAGAAGTCAGACTTCCAGCTCAAGTTATAAACGTGGGATTTGACATTCGTTACTTTCTGTCAAAAGATTATTTAGCCGTGCATTATTAGCCAAAGAAGAAAAAACCAGGATGGATTTGGATTACATCTAATATGATTTTAAGAACGCTATAAAAGTTTCCCTTATTTGCTGTATGTAGATACTCTTTCGTTTCCGCAATGTAAATACAAGTCATAAGTCGCGCAGTCTTATTTCTCTTAAAAAATATCTAAACATGAGTAGCATCATCATTTTCTCTTACAATTCGTGCAACTTAAATCTAATTTAATTCAATATTCCTAAACCTGAATTTGATACCAGCTTACTCTTGCATGGAACATCATTGAGCTCGATAAAATACTATATGACAGGTCATTAAAGCCAACAAGGGACGCAAAACGTTACCTAGATCAAGATAGTAGTCAATCAGTCTTTCTTTTCTGTTACTAGCACCATGGCTATGAGGATAACGACTGCATCTGACTCTTACACAAATAAAAATTTCAGAAATGCTCATGGCTGAAATAGGAGCTGAATTTTACGTTACTTCATTACAAATTTCTAATCAGGACAAGACATTCTCACTGCAAATGTGATGGAGAACTTGCAAAAACTGCCCCACGTGATGGAGTTAAAGTAGCGTACACTCACTTTTTAATAAAATGATACTTGAATGGGAAATTACTTCGTGCAAACGTTTAAAAGAGCCAAACAATATATGATGTTGGTAAAGAGCAAATGAAATTTGGTCAGACATCGTTGGAAATTAGCGGCTCTAGGCTATTAGCAAACAATATGTGGCAATATCGGGCAAAGCTTCGCATAAAACAAGAGCGCACAGGTGTAATGCTAGAGAATTAAGTTTGCTTCGGCCTTAATGGAAAGACTTTTAATAGTTGGATCAGTAAGAGAAAAGAAAAGGACCGGATGCGGCTCGAGATCTCATGACAAGAGCTCTTTCTCTGTTGATTCTTCTTATTTCTGATTAATGTGAAAAGCTTTTGTTCTTCAATGTATTTAGTCTTTTTTATCCGCTATGCCAACATCTATCAGAAGTCATATTTCTTGTCAGTTATCTCACAATGAACTTAATTAAGTTTCATGATCATAATACCAATTACTCTCCGTTTGTAGAACTTGCGAGAAGATAAATTTACCGACTACAAAATAACAGTAAGTGAATCTCCTTCAGACTAAAGGGGAGAAAGCCGTTAAAGCACACATACGCAAATTAATATTGTACCTCTAATTATTGTTTTAATTATGATCATACTATTCAGCAAGATTTCAGTTGCCGGAAACATACACAACGAGTGCCATCAATTATTCAGGATAAATTTGGGAAACAACTAAAACGTGCCTTACTGTTCATTACTGTTTGTTCCACATCGATCGGACATGGACAACAACAAAATAAAGGAAATGAAGATGAGGAAGTTGTAAAATGTGAAACATCACGACACTTTTACTCAACCTAGTCTGATAATTGTTAATTATTTCCACCGAGTGGCCAACTCATTAATGTGCAAATATACTGAGTGAACGTTTTTGTAGTTCTGACAAGATAAACCAGACCTAAGATTTTTGTCTCCGTTAACTAAGAGACTAAAGGGAGAAAGCGTTGATGAATAATGTACGATATTAATACTGTTCTCTCCACTCGTAGGTCGTTTGGTGAATGGAAAATTTCAGTAGAAACGCAGTGGCCACAAACACCAGCAACAGAACTCTTACTAAGTCAAGTGATGTGCGCTGGTTGGTGGTTCCTGTCTCAAAGTGCGTCCCATGGTTCGCTGTGTTCATCACTGAGTCTCTGGCCGTAATCACTCTTAATATCATTACTATTGTTGTATTTGTGAAGCAGCGCCAGCGACAGCGCCAGAGTACATGCTTAATCATCCACCTAGCAATGGTCGATCTCATGATCGGAGCAGTGATTGGACCTGTACGGGTTTACGAGATCGGGAACTTCTGTGATATGCGGGAACACGATATGCGAGACGTTACTTGGTTACCTGGAGTAAAAAACGTTTTAATGGAAATTGTTCATCTGGTCTCAATTTCTAATCTCAGCTTCATTTCATTAGAACGAGTGCACGCAACATTTCGTCCTTTCAAGCATCGTTTTATTAAGAAATGGGTTTATGGACTAGTAATTGCTGTCATATGGTCAGTGCCTGTAACGTTAATCCCTATAAGAGAATTTACGGTGTACGATATTCACAGCTACCTTCGTCTCGAAGTAATATATTTTTATTATCATTTCACCCTTCTCTTGGTTATATCTGTAAGCTATTGTTCTATTTATACTAAAGTCCGATGCAGTCGTCATCCTCAACGCCACGGTGCAGCAGGCCTGAGAGAAAGAAAACTAACGAGTACACTGTTTCTTGTCACCTTTGGATCGTTTTTTATGCTCCTACCTGTGGTGGCACTCTTAGGTGTGGTGGGTTTTAATTCTGAGCTAGTTTTACGCCTCTCTTTCCAGTTAAAGTTTCGTATCTTCATGACAATGAACATATTTTTATTGGCAAATTCGCTAGTAAATCCTATAATTTACGCCCTGCGTATGCCAGCGTTGAGAGCAGGTATATTACAATTATTATTTCGCAGGGCTCCAAACCGCTTAAACCCGGTAGATATTCCAATTCAAGGTCTTTAATTGTTTATCTTAAGAACTCGACACATTAAAAAGAAGCAAGCTTTAATTTGGTTTTTTTTTTCGATTTTAATTGAGAACACACCTCTTCTATGAGGTGTTCCTTAACCCTCCCTTAGTGTCCAGCATCTAATTTCTCCTTACGATATCGCCTTGAATTAAACATTAAGGTCATGAGAATAAAGGAAATGATCACCAATTTAAGAAGCTCTTGATTATTGAACAAATTCTCCTTGTCAGAACCTTAGGAAATGCCTAGAGAGTAGAATGGAGACTGTGCATACTGATTTTGGGAGTAAAGGGTTAATCTTTATAAGGGAAAGGCAGAGAGGGTGATACTAGTAGGCGATAAAAAGGCAAAACGAACTATATAAAACACGAATAAAGGGGTAAGTTTCTAAAGAAACTGTGGTACTGCGTGGGTGGGAGAGTATAACAGGGTGGATTAATATTATCAACTCAGTTGATAACATAAATTAGCCACCGTAAAGAGTTTAAAGGCTGAGGTTTCGAGCGTTAGCCCTTCGCCATTCGCTCTGACGAACGGCTAACGCTCGAAACACGGTCAAATCAGTGATAAGTAGACTCATCCTAATGGGAAAATAAAATCACCGGAGTAATACAAAGAACAAAAAACGTTCGAGTCATTGGGGCAATTCAGAGTCATGCAATCTATCAAAACATTGAATTTGGTGATGCACAAACTGAAAATTATCACTGAGGAAAAATAGAAGTGTTGCAACAACCGGATTGATCAAGAAGAGCAATGACTTGAAAATACAACTGGACAACAACAACTGACTGTTTTCCTTTAAATTGGTATAATTGGAACGAAATTTTGCATTCAAGAAGAGTCCATTTGGGATCAATGAACTTATTGAACAGCGAAATTTCATTTTGTACTCTTAACTAAACATTGAGCGTTCATTAAAAAAAAATACTGTTTGTTCAACAAAAAGAATATTTGACTCTAAACTAAGGCATATTCAAGGCAATCGAGAGATACAATTGATTTCATTGAGAAGTCGGATTTCCAGCTCAAGAAATAAACGTGTATTTTGATATATTTTGTTTCTCTACATATAATTTTAGGCCACTCATTCCTAGCCACAGAAAAATATTGTTAGCCCTAATGCGGCATTTCGTTATTTGCTTTAAATACCCTTTCGTTTCCGATATGTAAACAAAAGTCATGCACGAGTCGTGCAGTTTTATTAATTCCCTTTAAAAAATCTCAAGATCAGTAGAATCATCATTTTTTCCTATAATTCTTACAACTTAAAAGTTATTTAATTTACTAGTCTTAAAATTGCCTGAAACGAGCTCAGTAATGCAGGGACCATCATTACGCTTAAGAAAATACCATATGGCTGCCAAAAAGTCAAAAAAGGATGCGAGCGTTGCTCATAGCAAGATAATGGTCAGTTTTTCTTCTCTCTAACTTGCACCATGGCTAGGAGGATAAGGACTATCAGACTCTCATACAGATAATAATAATAAGAATAGTGGTTATAATAATAATAATAATAATAATAATAATAATTATAATCATAACAAAAAGTTTCATCAGGAATAAAACCGACGACAGTTGAATCGAGAGTTACCAAAGGGATAAATGTGATATTAAGCCAGAGGAGCAACAGTTACGAAAACCAATAGAAAAGAAAGGGCGAGGTATGAAGAATAATAAGCAAATTCTACAGCTAACTAAAGGAAAAAATCATATTTTATATGACAGTACTGTCTCTCGCTCTTTTGATACAAGAACTGAGATTTTCACTGAGGAAATAGCAAAAATGTTAGAAGGAATAACGAGGTTAGTCGCGGCACATTTACTGCCCAAATTGCGATAGTAAGTAAATTGTATTCAACTTTTAAAGGGTAAAAAAATAAAAATCGATGCTAGGGATAATTTAATTTCAGTGATTGGTGAGAAGAGGGAATTCGAAAGGGAGATTTTAAGGGACATTTTTAAGAGGCAAATCGACTCGGCGTGTGTGGTTTTGGTTCCTACAGAATATTTTAGCCAAGCCTGCCCTAAATTCTGGAATTCTTATGACGTATATAATGGGGTTTATTAGGGAATTAGCCCCAATTAGTAGTAATGTTGTCGCAACGAAATAAATGTTTGAGATTCCCTCAAAAAAAATAGTTGTGATGGAGAAAACCACATGCGGCAGCCAAGAGAGTAAAGACGCAAAAGTAATCCAAATCAAGGTGATGGTCAGTTTTCTTTCGGTGTTAGCTGCACCATGGTGTTGTGGACTAGGACTGCATCGAACCTTGATAAGGATAAAGCAGTAAGAAATACTAATGATCAAAAGGCAGATCAGATGATATACGCTTCGTAGCAGCACACCGATGTAAATAAAGGAATCTGATTTTAAGAAAAAATCGAAAATTACATTTAACATAGCGCTGAAACAACCCATCAACCAAATAACAGCTACGATAACGCCATACACCCATTTCTTGATAAAGCGGTGCTTGAATGGGGAAAATGTTGCATGTAATCTTTCTAAAGAAATAGCTGCTAGGTTAACCAGGGAGGTGACGGGAAATAGTTCCCATAAAAATCTTGCAACAATAGTATTATCCCTCTGATAACAAAAGAACGAAAATCCCTCTGCAATGAAAGAAGGCCCAGAGACTGCACCGACTAGGAGGTCGACAATCGCCAGATGGATGAGCAGGTATTTACTCCGACACTGTAGCTGACGCTGCTTCACAAATACAACGATTGTGATGAGGTTAAAGATAACAATGGCCAGTATTCCAAAAATGACCACTATAAACCATGCAATACATTCTGATGTAGAAGAGGTTGATCCAGTTCTCGCATAGGTGCTGTTTGAAACTAATTTATTGGTGGTGTTTGCCGTCATTTCCGCCACTGAAAATGTTTCAGAATCGCAAGTTCAATGCACAACATAATGGCAAAGCTAAAGACTGACATATTTTTAAAACTTGGCCAAAAAAACAAAAAAAAAAACAAAAACGAACGAAAAAGGCAGAAAGAGAAAAAGACGAATAAAAAAAGATACTTTGAAATTCTCACCGAATTGTGTATCTTGGTTAAGCTAAAAGTTCGCCTACCTCATCGACAGTCTCCAAAAGAAGATTTTCATGACAATTCGCTAGGTTGATTATGTAGCGCAACTCTGACCAGCTAAAAGCAGCTGATGAACTGAAATTATCATTCTTTTTAATACTGATGATCCTCGCTGATTGGTTTAAATTTGTGTCAAATCAGAAATTAGTTGTCCTCATAAAAAAAAACAGAGGTTAATAAGCTCAGGTAAGAGCCAATTCGATAGCGTAACGATTGGTTTTTCTGTTTGTTTCTCGTCTCTCTGTTCTTCGTGATGGTAGGATGTTTGTTGATTGCAAGAACTAATCAAGACATCAGCAATTTCAAACAAGTATAGTATGGTGCTTTAGTTAAAATCCCAGTACATTTGTCGCTAAAACTCGTCCCTGTTTCTGCCTGCTGATGAGCCAGTGTTAACGTCGTACACATGACCATTTCGTTCCAGAAAAGCATCATTTAAACCATAATACTTATTTTGGTGATTCAAAGAAAGTAATGCTGTTGCAATTCAATTTTAACAGAAAGCGAATCGTTCTGTAATGCATAATTCAATTGTCAGCAAATGTCAATAAAATCAATGTGATCAAGGGAATATATTCTCTCGTGTGCAACATTAGACAGAAACAATATTTAGCCAGCCATTTCCTCAGGAAGGAAACTGGTACTTTACTGCATCAATCGGCCAGAAAGCACTTTACTACAACAGCGGTTACAATGCAATTAGTTCACGTGAAACTCCATCCATTGTTAATAAACATAACGCAGTGTGTAACCAAGTACTCTCTATGCATCACTTCAACATTCAAACAGGAGGTAGTATCCCTTTCTCAGCAGAATATGAAAATTAGTCTGTGAAGATCTCCGAGGCAACCATCGATTACCCCAGGGGAGTTCGAATGAGAAGTATTTTGCAATTAGAGCGGGCAGGTAAGTTATCAAATTTGCGCTTGGTCCTTAGATCAAGATATATGCTCATCCCAGACCTTCGGATACCTCGCTCTGATGCTCAAAATCGAGTGTTAGCCTCGGAGAACTCCATGGTGAGTTAGGCCATTATAGAAGCGCGAAGGCTGTGCTTCGATTACTCATGCGAATGAGATTTTGTTTTCTTTGTCCCGCGCCCGACTGATAAATGTTTTCTGTCAGAATTTTTCTCGGTTAGGGTTCTGGCCATCTAATGCAGAAACGAGACAACCCAGTGTTTTGGTTTCATGAAAATGAGGAAAGAATGTTCATGACAACACGTTTTGCCTAATTGGGTTTTTGCTTGGCTTTGTCAAGGGTACGCCCGATGTATGCCAACACTGATGTGTGGTCACAATAAATTAATTTATGCTTTTATCTTTTTTCAGAACAAAGTAGTCCAGAACTTTTAAATACTTATTATTTATTGTTTTATGATTTGCTGCGAAGTAGCTGTAGATGGATAGCTTCATTTGCCAGAAGTTTCATTTATTCGGTCTCCAACAGTTGATTTTCAAGGTAACATGTCGAGATTGTGACAAAAGCTAACCAGCTGAAAACAGCAGTTGAACTGAAGTTATAAGTTTTCATTTCTTACCAACGCTAATGGCAAACCTGATTTGCCTAACTTGTAACATGTCACATGCAGGTTTTTTTTCCTTTGCCATTTATTTTTTTCTGTTTTGCTTTTCTAATGTTCTTTTGCTTCCTCTCGCTTTTTCTTTATGTGTTTGTCTTCTTTGTTTACACCTTGGGAAACGATTTTCCACGATTTCGAACAAACATCGAAAGTTTAATAAGTTTAAAAGTAAATCATTTGTCATCCGAGGGAAACACTTTCGGTTTTGCTCTGTGAGACTGGCGCAAATGGTAAGAGAGTTCCAGTTAATAGCTGAAATCTAAAGGACTCCAAACACCTAAGGGCCGAAAATGAAACCCTAACAGCAATAAAAGTTGCCTATATATCTCCCAGATAATAATACTTTTTCATCAAAGGGCAGATTTCTAGAAAAGCCTGGTAGTGATAACCCTTACCATCCGAAAATAGCCCATAAACTAGAAGGTTAGTTTTGATGAAGAAAGGAAGCTACACGCGATAGGGAGAGGTACAGTTGTATGACCTTGTATCTATTTTTAAGAAGAAGCAAATAACGCTTACTCGATTGAACATCATCGCCATCCTATAGGAGATATAAATTACGCCAAAATATATCTCATCTTAGTGTGATCCATTTTTAAGGAATTAAATTGCCAAGGTTTGGAAGCTTTAGAATTATTTATAATTTGTTCTTATAAGTATTCCCGCCAACGTAGATTTGAAGGTTTTGTTTCTAAACAATTTTATGCCAAAATGGGGAAGGGTATGAAGAATTGCCAGTTCATTTTACAGTTAGCGAGAGCAGAGTTTGATCATGAACTATTTACTCCTAACTTCTATTCCCTAAAAACTGAGAGCTCCACAATGGCATAGCGACAAAATAACCAACTTTCCAAATAACCATAAAATATCGCAGGATATTTGTAGGCTATTCGCGCGTTATTTGTGCTCTACTTTGTGCAGTTGGATAATAATGAGGCTTACAATGCTCAATGAGTGTCAAGTTCCCGAACTCAGCCAATATTTGTCGTAAACAATTTCAGTGAAAGCTCTAGATTAATATAGATGACGATAGTAACACCTTCAGAGCGGAGCGCTGACAGCCATTTCAATACTGCTAAAAGAATCTTCGAGACCACTTGAAGGACTTGAAGGCAATAACGGGAGAGCCATTCTTGTTCAACAATGTTGCATGGATGGCAGGTCGAGTACGTTTTTACTTTTAAGCTGATTGTTAGTAATGATCCATCTCGTTCTCAAGTTCGAGCTCTTTTTAACAAATCTTTTTCAGTTTGAAATTATCAGTTTGCGGAAGAGAGTAGAGAAGTAACTGCCCTAATGAAGAACTAAGGTTATTATTTGCCATAGACATTCTTTATTATGTTTTGCAATATAAAAAAATCATAAAATTTCCAATTCGAATTTCAAAGTCATTTCTTTGAATTCAAGAACAGAACCTCTGATTGAGTTGATTATTGTTAGATGTTGCTTGCTCTTGCCTCATGTATTATCATAAACAAGCTTATCCACATTGGCACACTGGTTACTTATTACACAAATTGAAACGAAAAAGAGATAAACTCGACGGAGACAAGTTTTTGAACAAATGCAAGGTATCCGTTCTTCGGCCAAACCCCTGATTTAGGGGCGTGGGACAAACTAAATTGCAATATCTTTCAAAGGGTTATCAAAGGTACACTTTTACAAAACAAATCGCGAGACGACGCAGAAATCACCTTATTTTGGTAACAATCTTATGACCAAAACATTACTATAAACAAAAGTTGAGGTCACTGGACATTATCGAGCAGCATATTCGGTGAATAATTTTTAAGTAGTTACCAGTACTTAATAGAATTTAATATACACATTGGAGATACTAAAGTGGTAAATCTACGGGGCGTGTACGGTTAGGCACCTTACATAATATGTTTCTAACACCAGCTCTGAATTCTGGCATCCTTATGGCGTAAACAATTGGATTTGCTAAAGAATTAGCACCGACAAGTGTCACAGCTGCGTTGTCTGCCCAAAGCCAGGTTGAAATTGCTTTATTAAAACTCGACAATATCGCGAAAACATTAAATGGTAACCAAGACAATAAAGATGCAAATGTGACCCAGATTAAGGTTGTGGTCAGTTTCCGTTCTCTGTTTGTTGCACCCCGGTGGTGACGACTGGGGCTGAGTCGGACTTTGATTAAGACTGCTGTATACGAAAAACAAATAACAAAAAGAAAAAATGCATTAAATGTGCAGGTTACAATTCCTCGAATGCGTCTATCTACTTTCAGATATAAAATCAAAACCAGTTGGAATGTTTCTCCCAATGAAGCTATCAGCCAAATAGCAGCGATGAAAGCTCCATTGACCCATTTCTTGATTGATCGATGCTTGAATGGAAAAAATGTTGCATAAAATCGATCAAGAGAAATAGCGGCGAGATTGACAAGGGAGGCCACTGGGAATATAGACACAATAAAAATGAAAGCTTCAGACAACTCCCATTGGAAACAAGCGTTGGACATTCCATTTATGATGAAAAGAGGACCAGAGGCTCCTCCAACTAAGAGATCGATTATCGCCAAGTGGATAATCAAGTATCTACTCCGGCGCTGTAGCTGGTGCTGTTTTACAAATAGGACGACAGTGATCAAGTTGAGGATGACAATAGCCAGGCATTCAATGATTCCTATAATAACCCATGGGATGCAGTTTGATGCCAGAAGGATTGGGTATGCCGTGCTCCCAAAGCTGATGTTTGAAGTTTTGGTAATTGTGTCGCCAGCCATCGTGAATTGTGACCGTGAATTTTAAAATCCTGAAATAATTTGACATGGAAATAGAGTCACCGGTCGCGATAAGGATCTGCACAAAAACTGAATCCAAAAGGATTGTATAAATTTTATGTATTTTTGATTTTTTCCTGTCACTTTAGTTCATATTTTTCCGAAAGATAGAAAATACACATACACAAAGAATAAAAAATGACTGCTACTTCATTGATTAGAATTGCTTTCAAATCTCGCTTTATATATTCTGGTTGAAGAAGATACAACCTGAGTGCAGCTTGTTGTTGTTTTTTTTTTTCTAGTCCTTTTCATTTCATTGTGAAGTGTTCTCGACGGCTATTTACGTGTGCTGAATGTCTGAATTTTTAACTTCTCAAAATGTCCTTCTTGTAGACCCTGTATAACATTTGTAGGGGCTCTCTGATTGAGGACTCTCAAAACATTTTTTAAGTCGATGTCAATTAATTAAGCTTGATTATCATGCAATACTGGTATATGCTTTAAAAGCAAAATAAAATAATTTCGATAAAAATAGGTACAAGGATATTATCACTCTATTCTGTCTTACCTCACATCACAATACTCTTAGCTTGTATGAGTCAGTTAAACTGCGTCTATATGGCTTGATCTACCAGAATTTATTTCCATCTTGAGGGGTCATTTTGTAAAGGTAAATCTCATCTCTAATCGTGTAACAAAACCTGACCCGCTGAAAACAGCAAATGGATTATAATATTAGTTTACAGTTTTAACAAGACACTATTGGCCATTTTGATTAATTTCATTAGGTATCAAATTATAGATGTGTCGTTTGTTTTGGAAAGAGGAAGATTACCTATTTGAGATAATAGTCCACCTGCAGAGTCTCACTTGATAGTTAACATGTAAAGCTTTGAACGACAAAAAGAGGCTTAACCCACGGACAATTCCAAATAATCATCAGATATCTCCAGGGAGTTCTGCTTCACCATTGATCTGAGCTACTGAAAACTTTCAGTCCCACGAACGTAATGTTGTTGACATTTTCCTCGACTAGAGTGCTGGTCAATTTATGCAAATACAAGACGCTTAATGTTTTTTTTCCTCGACAATGTTATTTGGCATTTAGGGCTACTTGATAATGACAGTTCTCCCAGGAAGTTGGAGAAGTTCTTTAATCTGGCGAAGATTTTAGCAATGGAAAATTTGATGCAGCCTCATTGTTTAAATTAGATGTAGAGTTGTACACTTTTGGTTTATGAGTCTTTCGAGTTTTCGATAGCTTTCAAATGGTGAACGGCTGCACGAAAAGTTATCAATAACACTTGTCAAATAAAACAGGGGAGATCACCTCGCCAATAAATAAGTTAACAGACGCGGTGATTAAAACTTGGCGGGAGTATCCATCAGCTATTTAACTTTTACTTTAGGTGTTCTTAGGACAAAATGTTCTCTCCATGCTACTGTTTATCCCCAAATCAGATTAAAATTATCAGCTTAAGTTTTTTTTTTAATACTTGAAATTGTATTCGGAACTTTTTTGGATAAATGGAGAGCCCCCGTCTTAAGGATACCTCTTGAGAACCTTATTTTATCAAATCATTAATATTATGCGCTTATTAAATTTTTCGTGAGTCGAGTGTGGCGTTTAATCGAGGGCGGCGTTTATCTAAAATCCAATTTACAATCCTCATAGAGACTCAGAATTTTTCTTTGTCCCACGCGCGTGACAATACGAAAAACATTTTTCCCATTAGTATGGCAACTGACAATTTTAATTGTAAAAAACAAAAACGTGTAGTGCTTGTCTAAAAAGTGATTTTTTATATTGTTCTCAATTTCAAAATATCCATTTTAATACTACTGCAATACACAAGGTGAATAAAGATCTAATGTCGGATGTGCTTTCTGGACATTAAAACTGGTATATTCAAAAAGATCTGTGTCTGGTTCACTCAAAATTTCAAATTCCGATCGAAGCAATGATCGCTGAGTGCTTTTTGGCTCTATTATTCGAATAAATGCCGCATAATGATGTGGCGTTTATTCGAGGGCGGCCTTTGATCGAATAAACACGATATAAGTAGTAATAAAAGTATTATAATCATACAATTCTTGTGATATTATCATTACCAGCCTTCGTTTTCTTTGTTCATTTTAGATGTGTTTGTTGAAAATTTCTACAGTCCAATTATTTGGGGCAGGTACGATTGAGGGGGCAAGCTCCTAATCCAAGCCTTAATATATTGTCT